CATTTATGAGGTGTATATCCACTAATATTCAACTAACTCTATATATACTGTAATTTTATCAACCTGTGGAACATTCTCCCCAGTTTGTGTGTCATGTCGTTTGTGAAGAATCAATTGGTAAGTTTAACGTTCTCATTTAAATCTGTCAAATTACTTAACAGATTATTGACATTTTGTTGAGTAACCTTAATATGGGTTCCCCTCACTTGAAGAAATGGGTATTCTCAGATGAGTCTTTCGAGTCACATGACCATCCAATCATCAGAAAATATTGCTTATTAAGATTACCTTCACAATGAGAGGCTTCTGTCGGTGGACCCCTAACCCTAGTTGCCACCTTGGGTATGACAGTAACTACGGGAACGCCCTCTGTCCTCTCGTCATGCTCACAACCCCCTCACTTCAGCGCTCCCCTCGTGGGCGCGCCCGAAGACATGATGGCACACGTCCAGTAGTCCATCCCCGACATCCTGGATGATATGGACACCCGTAAAGAGACCCTGGATATTGCCTGGTCTATCTTTGCGCCTTCTACTTCGCTTCGTGTCATCTACATAATAATTTCAAGCCTGTGACGTTCACAAGCCCCTTTCATTCGAACCTCGGCTACGGATGTCTGCTAGTGCTCCAGAGCCGGCTTTTTCACCTCATACAAAGGTTATTTCTCCTGCTAAACCTGCTGTTCTTTCGTCCTTCGTCGGACCTGTGACAGAGAAGACGGTCTGGCTAAATCGAAACGTCCTCAGTGACGCTCCTCCTGGCTACAAGGATGGAATTCAATGGGTCAAGCCTGATGAGATGACCATGACTATGGGTACAATGCTTGTACATGTCACAAAATGGAGATTGTCAAACATAATAGATCTTTTATTGTGTCCGGTGAAAAGAAATTGTTCTCTCATATTCTGACATAACAAAGGGATATTTAGAGTTCAATTTGCCACTCGATACGATGAACCTTATTCAATAAGCGAGCCCACCTTCGATAGGTCGAAAGAATCACATTGAGAAAAATGCTGCTATACATCTACCACTTGGATAACCTAAGATATATTGCACCAGTTATTATGTATTAATCTCAATTTCCAATCCCATGATGAGACGTTTCTCGAATCTTCGACAGAGCTCTCTCTCTTTCGTTTATGCACTGATCGACATTGATATTTGCCACTAATGCAACTCTGACGAGATCTTTCGAAACTCAATCCGGCTATATCAACAATATAAAAGGCCCCTCTGTCACCCCATTAGTTCATCATCAGAAGTCGACCGTCTCTCAGCTTCTGCAGAGGATTCGGTCACTCGAGAGATGCTGATACTGCTGAGCGAAAGCAAGGAAGCAGTACTTGTCTTGCGCGAGCAGACATTCACTTCACTCCTACCATGACGCAACTTGAGTTCTCTTATGTTGCCGAGCTGGAGGGTCAGCACACCTCTCTTCATGCATCTACGGGATGGAGCCATGACGAGCAAAGATTCGCAATCTACTCAGGAGCTCCGTCTCTCAGATGGTTCGCAACCACGGGTGAAATTCCCAGCATGAGCAAAACTTTGGGGTCTGCTCTACTGGTCCTGTCGCAAGGCAGTATTCCAGAAGTTGCTGAGCAGAAGCTGCAAAGTCTCTGCTACGACGCAACTGTTGAGACTGATTAAAACCGTGTGTGAAGAACGCATGAGCTAGTAACTAAGACGTGAAGCTGAGCGTAAGCTACGAAGCTGCAGAGTGAAAGGAAACCCCTCAGTACATGCACTAAGAGGACGCAGGGTGATGACGAGTTGGAGGCTTAGCAAGCCGCTCATGAATCCTGTCTCCGTGGATATGAAGCTGTGACGGACACGAAACATTGTCCATGAGCTCTCCGAAGGTATGGGTAGCTCCCTTGGGTGCAATTCCCTGCATGAATAACAATTCCTGAATGCTTTGGAGGGATGGAATGTCGTTTGAACAGTCATATGTCTTCTCCATCTGCTGCTGACTTGGTATCAGCACACCAGGAATCACGGTTAAGAGAACAGCTGACCCACGATCCGAACCTGATCCAGCTTGTTCCGCCTGAGCATAAGCGTCTGCAAAGACCGCCACCGAGCAAAGTGTTTGTGCCCAACCTGCCAGGCCGCCAGAGCAAAGAGCCAGTCCGGGCCGCAACGAGCCAGAACTAGAGCCGCCGACCGACAAATGCCGACAACAGAACACTAAGACAACGCTGAAAAGCCGCCTGGAGCTGCACGATGGTGAAACTCCACCAGCCACCAGAGCAGGAGACGTTGAAGCGACTGAAACACGTTGAGTTATGCCAGCAAGTGAAACTGTGAAACGACAAGTTATGCCTGCACTTGATTCTGTGAAACGATGACGTTATCGCTGAGGTGAAACTGTGAACTTCGAGAGCAGAAGGCCAGCACCTTGAGAACATGTGCCAGAGCGAAAGAGCCAAAGCCATGATGATAAGCCAGTGAGTGCCAATGAGCCCATAAGAACTAAGTGTTTCTTGCCAAAGAGAGCCAGAGCCATTGAGCCAGAGCCTAGAAGAGCAACAAGAAGATGTGATGAGAGCCACTGCGCCAGATGATCATCCAAGAGCCAGTAAGAGCCATTCGAGCAGTCGGAGATCCAACGATCAGATTCGCATTCAGAAAGGATGTAGGCAGTCGAACCTCGACATGAGGATGTAGACGAGACTGAACCTTTTAGTCTATAGAAAAGAGGATGTAAGCAATGAGCTGAACCTCTGGGGTTAATACATTATGGACCATGAAGTCCCACCCAAATCATCACCAGTAGTCATGTTTCTGTTGTTTTGAATTGTAGATGAAATTCAGGTATGAATGTAGCTTCAGTACAGAACTCCTACAATGATAACATGTATGTCAGCTACGAATGTTTTGACATTCACTTTGTGTCCCTGTGACTACAGTACTATATAAAAATCCATATGATTACACACACACACGTGCACACACACGCTAAGTACAGTATATCCGGTAATCTTGAATTTATAAATTGGTTATCGGGATTTGCGATTAGTTTAAGGAAGAATAATTGGATAAATGATGATGTGCTCTTAACATTGGGGTTGTCCATCGTAGGTACACGTCGTGAATCAAAAGCCAGAGTGGACTGATCCCCCTGTTGAGCTCCAGTAACCCTTATTAGTATTGAATTCCAGGCAAGTTGTACCAAGAGGGTAGTACCATGGGTCTTTTTTTTCAGGGTTGTTCGCCATTGTAGAGCGGACTGCCAGTGTTCCGACTAGATGCCTCGAGTTGTCGAATATAACCCGCGAATTGTATTTGTACGAGGACCATCTTGTTTTGACAACTGCTCAAATGAAAAGATTCAAAAATAACGCATATCAGTCATCGTTACAGGTAAAAAGAAAGACAACATCATTTGTCCAGCATGTTCCTGCGTCTTTATTTGCGTCTTCCAGAACTCTGCTTTACGTTACGAGTACAAGTACAAATACCAAGACGTCTCCCCGTATATATATATATATATTTTCTGAAGGAGCTGGGCCGGCGCTCGGTTTGTCTGTCAGTATTTTTGAAGTGAAGAAAGGTGTCGAAAAGGGACAAGAAAGCGGGGGAACTCGTCGTTTCACGGTTTTCAGAAGATTGAAAAGATGATACGTAGTCACAGTCTGTACATTATTATATATATTGTTGCTAAACTGAACCGATTATCATGAAAGTTTTCCAGTAAACATGTAAGGTTCAGACCATGCATGACCTTGCATAAACTTGCCTGAGACTGTTTTGGACGGAGCCAATTAATTCCTTAAATATGCACGTTTAATTAAGATAGAGTTATGTGCCTGGAAGAATTTTTTTTATGACATTTTCTGCTGATAGTAAGTCAGAGAACCACTTTAATCAGCGAGGAGTTATAGGTTTTCTTATTTATTTTCTTATTTTATTACGACTCTCACTTGAAAGGCGCTTTCCCCTGTTAATTTTTTGTTTCATAGTCTTAAAGACAGCCAGGCCGAACCACTCGAGTTCAAGTGACGATAGGGAGATATCATACTTGCTGATATGTTTCTGGCACACTTGGAAAGAGTTAAGAACTCAACGGGGGCCGCTCTGCCGGCTTTGGTTGTATTATGTCTGTCAATTCCTTCACCAGTCGAGTCATAAGGGCGGAAGCTGGGGGTTGGGGTATCTATAAAATAAGAGTTGAAGAAAAAAGATAACTGTCGAGATATATAATAAGAATCCTTGTGTCACCGTACTTGGCTTCAAGTTGGGGATACTCAACTGGCTTCTCGGCTGTCATGGTGCATTTTGGATGCGTTAATTATAGATCCGACATGGGGTATATGACAACGTCGACTGAAGTCCAACCTGTTGAAAAGACTGTAACCTCGGCTGACGAGGTTCAGAACAGATTTCAATGGAATGCTAGTCAGCTTTTCCAGTAGAGAATGTCATGCTTCAAATGACTATGACCGCCACGAATGGAAACACTGCTCTAATAGTCGTCGAAATACCACTTCAATTTGTGTCATCGTCTGTTCCACTACGTCAGATCTTACAATAATTCAGATTTACCCCAAAATAGATCAAGACTTAGGAATCAAAAGATGAGGCAAAGGATTTATCTACTACGGTAGTGCTCGGGTATATGAACAAACTGGAAGAATATCTGAATCTGTTCGTCTCTGGGGAACAGGCATTTTTTGTTTAAGCATCAAGTGTTGGAAAGCTTCCCTGAAGACTCAGCAATCACTTCTCCGACACGTGAATGAGCACAGACGATGGGAACATTTCCCAAGCAGGAATAAAACGGTAGTACGGTATACCTGCTAGTCATGGCATTCTAGAAAAAATGGACCTCGACTTATATTTGAGAAAAAATCACCTCTGCCTACCATCCCAGAAGCGAGTTTTACATTTTACAACTAGCGAAATAAGGAGGTGAGATAGTCACTTCCACTCAAACTCATTATTCACAAAATATCATCCTCTCATTACTCGTTATTCATTAAATATCTAGTCGATTACAACTGCTTCTCAATAACTGCTGAAGCAGTTTTTGAAGACGACTTGTGAACAATCACCGACTTATCATCGTCAATAGTGCATTCGGAACCGTCTTCAGACTCGCTCAAATCAATGTTAGGCAGCGCAAGAGCAATCAGGATACACACAGCGGCCACAATCATCGGTCCATAGAGCATTTTTCTGTAAATGTGGTTGAAGGCTTCTATCACTGCAGTTCTTTCAGATGTTCCCCATTTGTAACGTAGAGGGGCAGCCACATTGTTTACCATCTGGTCAATTTCAGTGGCATTTAAAAAGGGAGCATAGTCCGCCAGCTTCTTGGGGTACGTCTGTCGGTACATGGAGCCCGAAATGGCGTCTCCAATCACCTGGCCAATGGAGTTGGCCGCATAGAAGATGGCGGTAGCTGAAACCACATGGTTTTTGGGGACAGAAGCTTGAATAATAACGAGAGAAGGTGATTGGAGAAACCCCTGCCCCACTCCTTCGACTGCCTGAGTAACAATGAACTTAGCCAATGATTGATCCGGTTGTCTGTAGTGATAAGTGAGACCTAGTCCTAGCATGTAGATACAGATACCGGCAACAATGACTGGTTTGACTCGGTTTGTGTAGCGGAGAATGAACGCAGCCACTACAGAAGAAGCCACTGAGGCCACCATTAGCGTTGCAGATGTGTTTGATGCTGCAGTAACGGATAGTCCCTTACATACCAGTAGCCAAGGAAAGTAGTAGGGGTTGTAGAGGTTCTGGGCGATAGAGTAGACTAGACAAAAAGAGCAGCCTGTGATGAGGGTTTTGTTTTTCATTGCGGAGAAGGGCAGGAAGGGGTATTTTGGGTACATTTCCCAGAAAGGGAAAAGAATAAGCAAAATTGGACCGATGATGATCATCGAGAGAACATGGGCTTGTTTCCAGGAGTCTTGTGATTTGACCAGGGTCACTGCAAGAAACAGCAAGCTGAGACCACCAGTGAACAGAACCAGTCCAATCATATCAAACTCCAGAAGACGCTCTTTGATGAAATTCCACCTGGAACCTTTGTACTTTTCCTTGTCATACTTCTTTCCATTGACGACTTTGACTCTTCTTTTGAGTCTAAAGAGAATCACAAGAACCGGCACAGAAACTACCGGCAAAATGATGCACCACATCCCATAGCCCCATTTCCAAGTGGAATGTTTGATGATGGCGTTGGTGATGGGGGCCGAGCACCAGGGTACAAAAATGTACGCAAAGTTGGGTATGACCACGAAGAAAAGTCGGTTTCGAAGCGAAGAAGTGTCCGCTGCAAAAACCTGCTGAAGAAACCGGATTCCCACCTGTCCAAAGACGTAGAAAATGTGAGCAGCAAAGTATGTGCTAATGTTTGATGACGCTGCGAGCATTATTTCTCCCATGGTAAACAATATGACACAGAGAAGAAAAGATTCGAAGCGGCCTAAAACATCAGCAAACTTGGCCATGATCGTCATTGTAGCAGTGTACATGACAGCTTGCACAACATTGAGGGCAGAGAGCAGAGACATTTCATTGAAATCGGAGGTGGCAAAAGTCGAGTAGACCTTGAACGTCATCTTCTCTAGTGCCAGCGCAATTGAGACGAGAAACATGGATGCCCAGGCCAGCCAAAAGTCGGTTCTGTTCCACAGAGACGTAATCTGTTCCATCTCTGCCGCTGCACGAGTTTGCTGCCCATCTCCAGCGACTGATAGCCACTTGGGATTGGGAGAGGGAGGATCTGTTTCATCTCTTTCAGCTTGTCTGATTGGGTTTTGGACGGCCCACATGGTATTGTTGGTGAAGGTGGTATTGGTGCAGGTATTCAGCATTATATATAAAAAATGTATATATATCATACGGGTGATATCTTATCCATCGTCAACACAAACTAATCAATCTCAGATCAGCAGCCAAGACCCGAAACTCTCTCGCCGGTTGCCTTTCGTATCTATGCCAGAACCCTCCCTGTGCTTCCGCACCTACTTCGGAGGACCAAGAACAACGCACAAAACAGCCCGAGTTCGAAGGGAACAAGTAGTTGCAATTAAAATATGATTTCTGGGGGTCCTTTTGGAACCTTTTGGGAAAACCCTTTTATAAATTGTACAACTGGAATTTCATTTCATTCCGAATTTTCACTTCCGAGTACACTGTACATGAAGGTTAGATGGTGCAGAATGGTGCATCCGTGGCTAATTCGGGGCAACTCCAAAATCGTCACAAAACATGGAAACGACAGTGAAAAAGGTCAATTTAATTTGAATTTTTTGTAGAATCAATTTAAAAGGGCTCATTAAATCCCCACAGTGACTGCTAACTGTACCACAATCATACACCCGGCCACTGACAGTAACACAGTCAACGTTGAATTTCAGGAAATTATATTTTTAGGTTTTTATATATTCTTATGCGTATCAAAACGTTATATAGAACGACTCAGCAAGGTACTGTACTGTATCATAATGTTCCCGCAAAAGTGTCGGAAGTATGCCAGATCATTTCAGGTAGTAGAGGCAATGTGCGAGAATGAGAAAAAGTGTGAAAGCTGAGACAAGTCCTTGGATTAGATGTCTATTATGATCTACTGCATGCCTCAGTTTAACAGCATCATTTACTCGCGTTAAACCGTTGTGGAAAATCATCTTTGATCGACTACTCTACAGGCATCATTGTAGACGAAGTAAATGCCGTTCTAGTATAATTAAGTGTCATTTGAATAATCTGTGTCATTCTCCTAGATGCAGTTACCTTGGTGTTGTTTTGTATGTTTCAATCTACAAAAAAAAACAAAAAAAAAAAAACAATACAACAATTTTTTGTGTGCTTCCCGTATACCATCAATAGCAGTTTACCACGTGGTGAATAAATTCCAAAGATCAAGAGGTTCCTTAGTTCCCATTTATTAGATACAGCTTCCATTTGGTTTTCCTATCAGGCTTCTATTTCTTCAATTTTCTACACTTGACGCAATCTTGAGATCACACTCACCTGATTCAGCCTATGGAGACTCTCAACGTCATATCATAACTCATAAGCCGAAAATGCACTCTCATATCCAATTTATTATCTATTTTTATTGAAAGTGTTATACTGGTATGCTTTAGTAGATCTATTTGGGCGTTTCACAAGAGTCAGTTTGCCACCTCTATACTGAAAATGTGTGTCATATTCCCAAACAAGTCTAAATCTGGACGTTATTTTATCTGAAAATCTCTGCTTGTAGACATTTTGATCTATTATCAAATATATTGAACTTCACAGCCGTTTCCGGAATTCCTCGGGGAGTATGGGGTGAGAGTTTCTTCCAGGAACCACGCGACAATACATATATAAACGTCATCATTCCGACATATCAATTAGTAGAAGCTTTCTACTTGTAGTAATAAAACCCCTTCCTTACCTGTATTTCTCTATTATTCGACAAAACATCTCTAAAGCTTTTCCCAAATCCAGCGGACAAAAACAACGCAAAATACATTATCAGTAGGTGAAACCAGGATCTCCTACAAACACAAAAACAAAGCAGGAACTTCGCAAAGACGGATAATATTCATCCAAGATATTCCCAGCTCTTTTTATTTTACTCTCGGGTGATACTTTGGTACAGTGCTGTACACAGGATGTACTGTGATTCTAAAAAGAACAACTATGTAGAAGGGGAAAAAAAAACGCCTAAGAAATATCAGGCGCATAAAGTGATATTCAATGGAAACTACGACATTACAAAGATCATATTCATATCTTCCATCATGTATCAAATTCTTAATCACTTCTCGATATACCCATTCTTGTACCAAATGGGTGCGGGAAGGTCGCGAAGAACTCCAAAAGTAATGGCAAACATATCAAAAAGATACCTCAAGTGTTATAAATCATTTCTAATGAGATTTTCTTCAATTTTCCCCTATATGCCATTGTAATCTGTGACACTGCCTTCAAAAGAAGCATTGGCCTGCATTAAAGACAAGATACCACATTATACCTTCATGGAGTTAGAGAAGATCTAAAACAAATAACACATTGCATCATTATGCATTGTTTCTTGTTTTATATCCTAGTTTACGAACTCACGATGATACTACTATTCCAAATCTCTGCAAGGTTAGATTTGACCCCCAGAACCACTTTTTTGGAAGATTGAGTATAGAGAAGTTATCATATTGGGATAGAAATTTGTCTAAAGATATAATTTCACGTTTTAATCATTATAAAACTTGACTCGTAGCTTTGTCATCAGACTTGAATAAAATTTGAATCCCTTTTCTTGGAGAAAAACTTTACAAAAAATACTAATTGATACTCATAACTTCAGCTTTAGAATTCTGATATTAATTGAGCATAGGCGGATTAATGCAATTGATTTCATTATCTGTAGTTAATCACGTTATTGAACTGTTATTCGGTTCCTTGGAATGGAATTCCAAGCTTAGATTTTTTACTATTTTCAGATGTGGATTTAATTACGAATAATTGTCCTGAAATTGGGGGTACCCAGACTTCAAGTTATTCCTAATAGGTACTTGTCGGTATTGTACAGTGTACTATTATCTATCATTATGCATACAGTATTGTAGTATTCAAGGCGCTACTGCAACTTTTGAAAGTCTCTCACATAAAACTACAAAAGATACATAAAAGCTGAATAAATTCCAAACTAACAGGAAAAGTTTGCTACAATTATTTCACAGTGCTTTTCAATTGTTAACAGTAACTATCTCTAGCTTCACTTCATTCCCTAGTTCCACTTGATGATATCTTCGTGAATCGACTGACTCGAGTCCTCGACACTTTCGACCGAATATTTCGCGTGAAACAAACAATAGGAGCACACCTGAACTTATTTATTGTTCTATATTTACTGTAAACAGTACCTCTAGCGGAGATTTTTACGACTGGATACGCAGATTTGGGCTTTTCATAAGAGTATCAGCACTCGGTACACCCATTGCACATGGTGAGAACAATGAATACAAAACACTCCCACAAGAATCAAGATGCAATCCAAAGGATACCAATAATCCTCTCAGTACTACTGGTCAAGAATTCCGGAAACGATTGAATTTTTTAGAGCACAAAGCAGTTTCCAGTAACTCTGTGGAAGGGGAAATGGGGATTCAGAAAATGGATGTCGGTGCTTGGCAGGGATCAGTAAAGCTACTAGATATATTTTGGAGTTGTCTTTTCATCTTAATAATAGATTTTAATGCATTTTACAACAATTTTTGGTTGTAAATCGTTGCTGTTCAAACCACTGCCCTCAACTTGAGCTTCGAGCATGGTCTCTAGCTATCAATAAATCGTAAACGGTGGAAGGAAGCTAACCGTACTATTTTTCATGTATAGTAGCTTTCTATCAGCGTTTTTAGTTGCGACTTTCGTCAGTCTCGTTCAAACCAACTCATACAGCTGTTCAGTTCAGATATTGAGAAAGTATTTTAGCATCGTAGCAGAGAGGTATCAGTATCAGGTGCCTGACGCTCTTGAACCTGTTTGGCTACAGTGTCGAAGCCTTCAGGAACCTCCACCGTTGTAGTCCACTGATACCGAGACCGGGGGAGACATCACGAGATCGTCCTCGACCAACTACACGGAGCACAATGGTTTACGTTCCTCGACCTCCAACCCGGATATCATCAAGTCCGTCTCCGAGAGGATGACTTCCACCAGGCCGCATTCAGCACGCGCTACAGCCTTTTCGAAACCATTGCTATACCTTTTGGCCTCTGTAGCGCACCAACCCACTTCCAACGTATGATGGATCACTACCTACGAGAACTCATCGAACTAGACGTCTGTGTGGTGTACATTGACGGCATCCTCATCTACAGTCGGAGATCTGAGGAAGACCACATTGCCACCGTCCAAAGCGCGTTCAAGATCATTGAAGCAGCTCAGTTGGTGGTCAATCTGCCGAAATGCAGGGTTATTCGCCACCGACATCGAATTTCTGGGTCACCCGTAATGGCCTCCGTCCTGCTACCCTCCTAGACAACGGACCCACAGTCAAAGATATCTCATCAGAACTAGCCAAAAGCCAAGATTTTAAAAGACAAGTCACCAGAGGAGAGCCACGAACCGACTCATTATTTTAATATATATGTAGGCTGGCACGTCGTAGATGAAACTATAGCTTCCAGGGTTCCTAAGAACGAGTTGAGAGACGAGACACTGCAGACCAACATCGATATTACAGTACATGTTATAACATTGCTTAGAGGATACTAAGATATTATGTGTTGCAGAGTCTGAGTCAGTAATTTGACGAGACAATGACCTCGGTAAAACCCCATTTTGGTAAAACCGCTCTGAGAACAAGGGACATCGCAGTGACACAATGAACAAAAATGTCTCTACGGGTTGAACCCAGAACTAGTAAAAACTATTGAGTGTACAATAACCTGCACGAGTATCTATATTGGACAACCGCCAGCACTTCACGATGAGCGAGAGTAGAGACAGTAGCAAGCGTAAAAGGCGGCCGAGGCCATCGAGAGAACAGCGTAGCAGGGCGCGTAGTCACCACAGGGGACGCAGAACCAAACCAATGACGAAGAAGAACCACAAGGAGACGTTTTCAAAGGCAATGCAAATGAAGAGGGCAATGGAAGGATTGAGATTAGAGAACTGGAGACTGGAGTGGCGTTTTCCCGATGAACGAACAAACACGCGAAGCTATGTGGACCAACATACAACACGGACTGAACCAGGTTTTTTTATGATTTTTTTACTGGAAATAGGTACGTGCCAAGTTGGACCATGACACTAAACGTGTTTAATTAGTAATATTCGTGTAAGCGTACATTCATTTCAAAGGTTATTCTTTCACGGCAAAGTTATAATTAAATGAATGTATATGCAGAAAAAAAAAAAAAAATTGGATTAACTCCCAACCGTCAGACCAGGAGGAAACATGGGTTTGTTATTTTGGAATTTTTTGGAATTTTTTTGGAATTTTTCAGAATAGCGTTCAGTGAGAGAGCGGAACCCTAACAAGTCTTGGCGCAGACTTCGAGAGATGGCGCCATTTTTTTTATATATTTACAATGGACATGCCGAGGCCTCTCTAATATTGTCAATATCAGATTCAGGGGTTTTTCCACCCCAGTTTCCCTGATGATCACGTGAAATGACTTGGCGGCATATGGTTCAACGTGCTCCATTCTTTTAAGGGGGGCATTGCGATAAATTAAGTGATATCGATAAAGTTAACGTGTTAATATTATGATAAATAAAATAAAATAAAATAATTTAATGCTGGGATAATATGGGAAATAGGGGTTGGCAATTGAAGGGCAGGTTTTGGCGGTATTTCCATGGTGACAATCCAAAAGGTCAGCTGACTGTGTCCCCTTCTGCTGCAAATCGGTGATCCAGGAACATCTATATTACTGGCGTCGCGGTTGCTAGAGCCCGTTTTGGGCGATTCTGTTCATTTACGACTTCAGATCGGTGGAGCCAGATGGACACCCACGCGCTGAAATTACATTTAAATAAAATGCAAAGCAAAATCCCCACAAAGTCCAGTCTTGCATGATTCATGTTGGGGACCAAACAGCCCACAAAACGGTTCAGTGCAGTCTAGACAACAGGCCACAAAGACAAGTTGGATGCAAACACCCAAAAGGGGAGATTTTTGGCTCTCCATCCTGCAAACATCCACCAGGGCTCGCTCATTAGCTGTCTTTTGGCCGCTGACATATATAATACGTGCCTGAACGGTCTCATTAGCACCAAATCAGATGAGGGAGCCCATCTCACCAAAACCTCATGAAGAATAGCGAAGCAGCAGAAAAGTCAGGAAACGCGATCGGGGAGAGATACTATGCTGGCGCATTACAAGACGCACCAAGACGCACGCCATCGTTTGAAACGCCGCCGTTTGCACCTCCCTATCCGCCGTCACGCACCTCATCCATCTCGTCGCTTTCGTCCAGCCTCGGCCGCTTCTCCAAGCTACCACTGATTCCCCGACGTACCTCTGCAGCAGGTCCAGGTCAATCTGTAGAGTCGCCCTTAAAAACCATGGGCGTGCATGTTCGCGACGACTCCGTTTACAGCCATAGCTCCAAAAAAATGACCGACATTGACGGATACTCTCAGTCCCAACGGGACTTTTACACAATCAAGCCGCACCTGTACGCCCAGCAACCAGTCAAGAACTCCCAGGGCCCTCAGCCGTTCAATGTCAACCCCAACGATGCCAGAGAGACCAGAACCAATGGCTCCATGACCCCCACAAACCTGGCTCGACCATCCCAGGTGAAGGTCGTCTTCGACATGACTAAAGAAGAAATCGAACTCACCCAAAAGCTGTGGTCGGATCTTATGAGCGACCCCGAGTCTCTGGAACAAAGTACGGCCTATGGAACCCCCACCGCGCTCTTCTGCGAGCAGTTCTACACCAACCTGATGGCCTCCCACGCAGAGCTCGCGTCCATCTTCCCTTCCATCAAGAGACAATCCGTGGCGGTCGCGGGCGTGTTTGGACTCGCTATCAGTTCGCTCGAGAGGATTGAAGAGATGGACGAATTCCTGCGGTCGGTGGGAAAACGACACAACCGAATGATCGGTGTCGAACCCATCCACTACCGATGGCTAGGAGAAGCCATGGTCAAGACCTTTGCCGACCGGTTCGGAGACAGATTTACGCTGGAGGTGGAGACCGCCTGGATCAAAATTTACTCCTACCTGGCCCACAAACTGCTGGCCTCCGACGAGGAGCCTAACGTGCTCATGTTCGCGCCCCAGCAACAACCCCGTTCCATGCTGTCCTCATCTCCTAATGGACCGGGTATCTCCCCCACTCCTTCGTACACTAGCTACCAAACCACCCAAGACGTACGGAAACCCAGCCTTTCCAGCTCAATCAACTCTCAGTCGCTCTACACCTCCACATCCAACAACTCCACCGCTCCTACTTCTGTGGTGAACTCGCCTAACGCCCCCTCTATTCCAGCCACTCCCACAGCTAACAATGCCCCAATCATCTCGGCCCGACGAAACGTCTCAACTACTCCTTCAATTCCCCCCTCTCTTCCCTCTGCTCCTGCCCCTACACCTAAAGCTACCGACTACTCCCCCCCAAAGAACGTGCGAGGGAACGGTGGAAGAAAGCAGGGACGAAAGGGCAAGGACGGTGAAAAGTGTGTCTTAGCCTAAGGAAAATCGACCCACTTCTGCCCTGGTGGCTTTTGTGACTTTTCCCAGTGGGTCTTGTGACTGTACCCAAAACTCGTGTCTAGAGTAATGATGGTCAGAACCCCAACAACATGATATTAATCTTACAGTCATATACACAGTCATATCGATTTACATAAATGTCTTGGATTGTGTGTAGCATTAAATCTCGGACCGTTATCTCGAAAGAAAAAAAAAAACATTGTGCGTCGTATATTTTCGCCGAAAATAAGGTCGTGAAATTCAACCACATTAAAAAGTGGTAGAATTCGCTCAAAATTATACAGTGAAGTTCTATGAGTAGATCTAATTAACCGGTCAACGCGTTTTCATCAAGTTGGACCCCTATTGACATTTCTACTTTACAGTTCTTTCCATTGATGACTACTCGTTAAAACCTTATCTTGTTTAGACTTGCACCCTCGGAAATTTAGCCTCTGACGGCGGTACAGCTTAGGACATCATTTTCTCAACTGTGGATTAATTTTATGTAATAATCGTATATAATGGTTCAGGGCGAGTAGGTTCACATTTTTGGAATTTTTATGCGACCATTATTGAGCGTTTTGGAGACTGTTTTCAGATGCTCTTGTGAAAGCTTAAACAACGCGGAGTTTATCAGTATGAAACTTACTGTTTGGTATATATTGTACTGTGAACCTTTTAGTGAAATTCAAGGGGAATTTCAGGGGAATTTAAGGGGAACATAAAGCCAAAGAAAGGTGATGCAAAGTGTAAGAGTTCCGAGAGAAAGTGTTAGAAACAAGAAATTGGCCAATAATTTCAAAGATATCCTGCCCTTTGTGAATATTGGGGCCTAGTTAGTTCCAGATAACTGCTTCAAAAATCCTGCTGAACAAACCGAACAAGCAGTTGTGAAAAGGTCTCGATATGACTGTCGTCTTCCTCAAGTCTCGTAGAGGGGCTGTTAGTAGAGGGGCTGTTCATCTACAAGTAGTGGGTGTCATCCCCCTGTTGGAAGCGACAACTATCGGAACTACCTGGCCAGCAGTATCAATTGTTGATCTTACAGTGATCGTAGAGAATTCTCAAAAAGATTGGGTAGCTCTCCCCCGAGTCCGGTGACTTCTTCGTCTCTCTTGTGGTGTAGCAGTATAGGTACAGTAGCCTATTAGTCCTGTCACAAATTCTTTACAGTACCACTGGAAAGAAGGGATTTAGACCTTTTTGTTCAATTTTTTGTACGAGTAACGTGTACCATTATAGCGATAGTTTCTTCAGATTTGCAATCAGAAATTTCTCCATGAATAGGAATGCTGGACCCAAAGAGTAATCTGCTTGAACTGTTATCACCAAAACCCAAGAGTAAGCTGTCCAGACAGTTACAGACAGCTACAGCGGCCATTGTCGGCCATATCTAATTCAGCTGGGGGACGAACTTGAGCTGTTGCTACTAATAGGCTTATTGGTCCGAAGAGTGTCGAGGATCTGTCCCTGCTGATATGACTCAGACAATTGAACATGACAGACAACTTTGGTAAGATGGCTAAAGGAAGCTCCGATTGAGAACGGCTCCCTGAAATCACTGATACATGGCACCCCAATGCTAGATTCTATTCCCTTTTGAACTATTGGGACTCCGGCAATGGATGTGTCTTCATTTTAGTTGCTGCAGAACTAGCGGCGCCCCGGTAGGGCGTGTCATTCAAATTCAGTGCTGACGGTGAAGTACTAACTATACCCCGAACCTCAAAATGGCTATTAAATGGGGGTTTGTGATTCACACTACACAATTTGTAAAATATTGACTCTATTGATGACCCCCTCCCACGATATCTACACCCTGCTGACAGAACCATGCCACCCATGATCTCATGACACCTACAAGGATTGGACTGTCCGTCTTATATAGAGTCAGGGGGAGTTACATGGATTTTTTCTTTTTTTCAAAGTGGATTATAAGAATTTTGTATGCTATTTATGTTCACAATGGTGTAATTTTTCTCCATGTTCGGTCTCAAGCCTAAGAGTGCGGCAATTATCATTCTGGAGTAGCCGCCTGGATAAATATTTTGAAATATCCAGAAGCACTAAAAGTGATACCCAGTAAATAAATAAGTGTTAAGAAGCTCTGGGTTTTACACGGATTGGAATCGTTCCTGTTGTTATCTTGTCCACGTATTCCCTTTATCACCACACGACATGTTAGAAGATGGAGCCGGAGAATCACTGACAATGATTGAAATATACCAAACGATAATAATGCATTACATAACATGGCTAATGGATTATCCTTGATTTTTTTTCTTTAGACGCTAAGAAACTCCATGACGTTATGTTCATATGAGCCGTTGGGCTAGATATGTAACAAGACACCTCGACATACCTCCCAGAGAGTAATAGTCGAAATATATCAGTAAAATTCCTGTTTAGTGTGATAAAAAATTCCTCTGGCCCTTTTTTTTATTTTTCTTAGTTGCTGTTCGAGAATTGATGTTGCTGTGCGAATTTTTATTTATATCCAGTCGATTTCAGTCACAAAAAACAGGTATTTTGGAGAAACGAGTGGACAAAAATTCCAAATAGGACAAAAAATAGAACATATCTGAAGAAACAAGAAACTAATATTATAAAACACTCGTTGTGCTGTCATCAAAACTGAATGACTTCTAAAAAATTGAAACTGCAATTCACGACAAAATTGCCTAAAAGATATGATTGGCTCCTACAGTGTCAAAAAGAATCAATGTAGCAAAATTGTGGGCATAAATGAATATTGACAAGATATAGGTATTTATATAGTAAATACGTAATTGGTCATTCTGAACTCGTTCAGATCGAAATCCGACCACGAAATTGATACAAATTTTATGTGTTCCCTTGCAGGTATATTTCATCTGATTAATGTCTTTGGTGGAAGAATCTCCACTTGTTGTGGAGTCTTAAAATCACTTTTTCGAACTTGTTTTATCATATTTGTAACCGCACGTTTGAAATAATAGCATCCTCTAAGATTGATGGTTTTCTCGACTTCGTGGTAACAGTTTTGGTGAAACAAAACTAAGAGCTGTTTGAAAATGTAACTCTATGCTACAGCAGGAGCTTCTTGTTGATCACCTTCTCGTGGGAAGAACAGTTCAGGGGTCTGTGCAGTTGATGGTTAACTTTGGTGATGGCAGGGATGTTTCATCTGTTCCTTTTTGAATTATCCTTCCATCATTAATATTGACATTATTAAAGCAAAATGTCGTATTTCTGACACGACATTTAGAAAGGCATTACCAAGTGTTTTAACACATCTCAAAGAGTTGTCATTCTGTCTCTATAGCTCCAGATTCTCAATAATGTGACTTCCTCACTTAGTCATACACCTCTACGGATATCACTTCAAGCACAGACACAAAGATCACTTCAAACATTTACACGAACAAAGTGAAGTGCTACCCGTTTGGTTACCGATCTGATCGACCTGGTGTCTCTTACTCGAATCATCAAAAGCCATCCTCGTTGTTTGCTTTAGCCTCTTCAACCCAGTTACATAAAAGGAGATGAGACTGTGAGTACAGTACCTCAGGTATTGTGGACAGCTATGGAGGAGAATTGAGATAATCCGATGAGTCATTATCAAATGTGACGTTTTCAGAATTGATTTTACTACTACTCGCAGTTATCTGATTATGTCAATTCACTCCCCTGCATTCATCCAAAATGTAGTTCTTTGACCATATGACCTTGACGCTAGGAAAGAGTTGAATGTACTGTACATAAAGTATGTACAGTATCTAAGACTCTCTTATCGAAATACAATCACGGTCTTGGAATACTTCATTCACTGTTGTACTTCTTTCTTCGAATATCTATGATCTCAAGGCCATAGACTTGACGGCAGGGCAAGTTTCAGAGGTTCTAAATAACTACTCAGAAGGCTGAAGTCGAAGGATGTTAGTTAGGGACTATGACTGGTCAGAATATTGACCTAAGGTTGATGCTATTGACTTTTCCATAGTGCAATAACATCATTGTACATCTGACACCAAACCCACTTTATGAAGCATGGACTAAATAAATTCCAAACCAGGATGAGACACTATTCGACCTAATTTATAGGTGCCTCTATTTGTGGTATTTGCTTTTATTCAAAGTATTCACAGTGTAGAGACATTGCTCGTCCCGCTTACAAAACAGAACCATGGGCTCATAACATAGAAGCAGGAGAATCGTTATCACTGCAGGCTAATTGTGGGATCATAACTGCTATTCTTAGTTTCTTATGAATGTTGGCTTTCTAAATATGAGTCCTGTTTGCGACCTCTCAGCGTGTGTCTCGACACGCGTGAGATACAAAAGTGCTGATTGGCCAAATGGACCTGATATAAGTCAGGAAAAAGGGAATTATGAGCTGTGTAGTAAATATGGTGACTTTAGCACTCTATTAGTCTCTTCATTATTCTTGATTAGAATTTATTCGCAGTGTTGATACCAAATCACGATGCGAAGACTCCAAAATTCATATCGGCAGTATCGCACTAAATATATTCAAAATACAGCAAGAAACAGTTGCTTACAAATATTTTATCTCTCTGATTTATTAAGGAGTCTTTTTTTTCTTCGATATATAACTACCCTCTTTATTATTCGTCTTGCAAAAACAGTACGGAAACCTGAAAGGACTGAAGTGCCAAATAGGAAAACTAAATTGAAAAAACCGGGGGAAGACTCTCTTGGATATAATAATTTGAAGTAAATATTTCCATTGGTTAGTATTTTGTTTTCTATCGATAATATTCACGGCGCTTTTCCAACTTGCAAATGTCTCTCATGTAAGATCTCAAATAAGTCATACGAAGTGAATAAATTAAAAATCTAGAAACTCCAGTGTTTAGCTTAATCCTTACAACCATATATTTCTATCAGTGGTAATATATCACCAACTATAGATTCTAGCTGCCATTTTACTACGTCTTCCCTTCAGTATCAAGTGACACGAGCTAACGAGACTCTCCAGGGCGAAATAGAATCTAGTTAGCAATCATTGCTCCTTTCCAGACTTTGAAAGGTGCTCTTTAAACTGCTTCGTAGGCTTTGTTGTCTTGTGATACATATATGTTCTCTTCACAGAAACATAAACATTCAGTGCACTCGACATGAGAAATGAGTTGTAATACACTCGAAATAAATACCAGAATAAGTCTATATTATTTTTCTGATGTCAAAATTACCTCTGATCAGTATTTCTATCTTCGATCTAATTTATTGGAAGTTTTCTGTCGTTTCTGGAAACTCCGCGGAGAGAATAAGGAGGCCCCTCTAAGTGCAAGCAGGTTCTCCAAGGGTGCAATATAGAAACAAAAAATGATAACCAATCATAATCTGATACTTTTGAATCAGTTTTATAGTGATTATGAACACTTGTTGGCGGTTTGTATCCCCCGTTCATATCTCTCCTTCGACGTGTTAGATGTTGGACAGTAATTCGGTTAAAAAAAATTGTAAACAGGAACAAACAACTTGTTCTCCATCACTATCAGATGCAGCATTGTCAATCTTAGATACCTGTTAGCATCACCACTCTCGTTCAACGTGCTGCAAACTGCTGTTCAGTTCCGGTTCCAATAATAGCTCAATCGGGCAATCTCGCATCAACTATGCACGACAACATAATAGACTATTTCCGAAATGACATTATCGTAATCTCTATGTCATCAACCATTCTAACAAGACCATTTACCAAAGCTGTTACACCCCACTGGGGTGGTTAATGAGTGTCAGTGATTCAGAATGAAAACTAAATTCATGAGTGGTTCCATTGTTCTCTCTCATAGGCTACAGTACCTGGGTTAAGACCGCAACCTTGACCAATCTGCTAGAAGGCGCCCACAGCACATCTTATAGACATAGAGAGAGGATTCTGGTCTTCCCGAATGAAGAGATACCCGGAGCGAGGCTGCTTTTCCTTCTTTCATCTTCTTCAGCGCTCAGACTAAATCATAAAAGTAAGACTGTGACCATTGGTACTGACACAGTAGTAAAACGGGCCTCAGGCAGTGACTTTGAGATATCAGGGTTCAGTTTTGAGTGATATTCTACGTAATATATTATATTTTGAACGATCAGAACTTTTTCTAACTGCTTAATCGTCCTTATTGATGAAATTTCTGACGTCTCCCTTCGTGCTACACAATACAACGCACTACTTCTGGGGCATTCTTACACTAATTTAAACATATATTACTATTTTACATGAGTTATACATCATTCCCAAAGAGCAGTGGTTCAGCTTATCCTGAATGTGACAATTCCCAGCCTGACGTTATGTTCAGAAGCATGGTGGACACAGATTTACATCAAGATGGCACATGATACATCAAGGAAATTAGTCGGTGTATACCTAGCAGAGTCCTCTTTATAATGACTCAAATCATCTTTGCTTTAATTATCTTTTCTCTTATTCAAAATTGAAGCTGCTGGACACAGTTCAGTGTAGAGCCGGTTTTGGTCTGTAAGAACCATTTTATTGCATAAATGAGTGTACACAGAGGGCGGTATGTCGTTACCAGGTTTCTAACAGGTGTAAAGGGACATGGAGCTATCTTTTTGAAACATGATTCCTTTCGGTACCGTCAAGAATGAAGAACTTTTAAAAAATTTGAACTCCGTTATTCAGTAAAAACAGATGGGGGTATGAACGACTCTAGCTTCTTCGAAAATCATTATAATCTAAAGAATTTTGACCCGATATGTATTTTGACTACAAATTATGAGATATATAGTCGAGATGAAAACATTAGGACTTTGTTGAAGTCTCCGTGTAGTATCATTATATTAGTGACGTTATTATTGATGTTACAACGGTCAAAAAACTACCATCTTGCTTAAATGGTCGCCATTTTCATTTTGTAAGACAAATGCTAGGTCAACTTCCGTAGAGCTACTTTGATGAGATGTTCTTTTTGATTTACCCTTCAACCATTAATATTGATGTCAGTGAATGAGAATGTCCTAATTACTGATTTCGAATGAATCATTATTCATAGGGTTCCACTACCGCCTAGAATTTCGTTGGTGAAGCACGGATACCTGCACAGTACATACCATCATATGGTTCCTCAGCAACGTTCCATCGATATCTGATGCTCCATACTGCCATTGAAAAGTTGTCTAATATAGTCCTGCAACCACCACATGTCAAGGATTTTGAATATCTTCCAGTTAATGCTCGTCCTTCTATCGAATTTATTCGAGAGTGACATCTAGACTTCCATCTAACAATCTGCCAGAGTCGTAGCTTCTCTGACCATCCCCCTCTTCTACTCCTCTTCATAATTCTCCACTGCCAAAGTCGGAGCTTCTCTTACCATCCCCTCTTCTACTCCACTTCATAATTCTCCACTTCACGTAAAACTGTGTCTCCAGATTGGTCAATAATGCAATTGTGGTTCCCCTCCACCTGTTATCATAGGAGAGCCATATTAATCCCCAAATCAAAACCGTTTGCTCTGGGGGACTTTCTATTCTCCGTAAATTCTGGTTACACATACTTGAAACAAAACTACTCCTGCAACTCCACAATACATGGATTCAGGAGATCCGAAAGTCAGACATTGATACAACTGGACAGAACACGATCAATTCCTACCAACTATTGCAATCAAGCACCGAAACGCTGGATAGCTCTCCCTTTCTGGAATACCAAAGCTAACCATACTTGTATTTACTGTACCTACCAATAACAGGTGTAAGTTTCCCACGGAATGTTTGGTGTACCCCGTTAAAGAGGCTGAGACTGTACGCAGCTCGAGTTTTTTATGTCCGGCGTATCTCAGAATTGATATCTCGCCGGTCAAGTCAGTAATTGTAATGCTGTATATGCACTGAACATTTACCTGAACTGAAGAACTACTGTTCTGTGCAGTAACGTAGAATATACCGTTTGTACACACTACTGTACAATACCCCGCTGTCTGTTAGCTTGCGTCCTAAATCTGGATCTATACAACGGGTCTAGTTCTGAATGAGTGAATTATATAGGCCGATCTGGTTTAGTCTCCCCACTTGTGAGCAAGTCTCGCCCACAGTCACGCTAAGGGCACGTCGTATCGTGTTCCTTTACGACTCTGGACGGTTTTTCTTCAGGCTTCGCATCAATTGAGTTGATCAGAAATATCACCGATATGTAAACGAATCATCAAACCGTGACTGTGTAGAACATCGGCTTTGTCAGCTCTGCAGCATGTAACTTGATAAACATCTCTAGCCCCTGGGGACCTAAAGTTGATCGCACTAATCATCAATGGACCCCGCTTTCTCCACTTATCAAAATAGTGATGACTCATCTGAGAGATCGTTGCCAGAATTATAAGTAACTCCGTCGGCAACCAGGAATGGGGACCCAATATCAACAAACCATATGCGTCCTTCTATCACTATCGTTGGTTTTTTAATTGCCTCTGCAGTCGCCCTAGGTATCACTCAAGCTTCAAAAGATACCTACAATCTCTTGAACTATGCCGAAAACCTGAACGGTGTTGCCGTTTGTGTTGAGCAGATCGGCGGAATCCAAAAGCCATTTAAATGTCTGGGTCATTGTGACGACTTCCCTGATATGGAGCTAATCACCACATTTCATCCAAAGAAGCTGTTTGATTTCTCTACCACAGGATTTTTGGCTATTGATCACAAGAGAAAGCAGTTCTGGCATGTTTTCAGGGGTACGGCCTCACTCACGGATGGAATATCGAACCTGAGACTGGAGAGACAACCTCTGGTCTTTTGGGACAATCCTGAGTTTGACTGTCCCGGTTGTGAAGCCCATGAAGGGTTTCTGACGGCCTATAACGATGCCTATGATCAAATCAGAGATGTCCTCAACCAGACTTTGGCCCAGTATCCAGACTATCAAATCATCGTTACAGGCCATTCTTTTGGTGGAGCGTCATCCTTTCTCCATGGAATCAATCTCAAGAGTCAAGGCATGGATCCGTTGGTAATCACATCTGGACAGCCACTCACTGGTAACAAGGCCTTGGCAGACTTCAATGATAAACTCTTCTTTGGAGACAATCCAGATTTTACCTACCAGGGGCCAGATCGACGATTCTATAGAGTCACCCACAAGGATGACCTGGTCCCTCGTCTTCCCTTTTGGAACCCCTTTCACCACAGTGGAGGAGAAGTTTACATTGATTATCCTCTAACTAACCCTCCCCTACGGACCCTCAAGATTTGCGATGGTCAACAGAACCCCAGATGCTCCTTCTCCACCTCTCTTATAACAGCAGCCCTGTTAGGTACCCTGCAGCAAGCTCATTTCATGTACTTCACGTTTTTCTCCCTAGTCTGCGGTGTTAATATCGCTGGCCATCTTGGACCTCCTTTGCAGTGACAAATGCCGATCACGTTGTCATTCTATACACGTTCTCAGCAGACTAATCCCAACATTGATGTAAGGAATATAGAACTGCTGTAATTCAATTGTTGCCGTACTTAATGCGTATATTATACTCCCTAGTATTGTATGTTTGTAGTAAGCGTGATGTTTTATTCTCTACCTGATCTACTATTGTACTCGCAACCTGGCGACCGGGTTCTGTGTCTGAAACCGCTAGTTATTCAGCGGGCTAGTTCAAACGAAGCTGTAACGGGTCTAGTACACTCGTAAATTTAAATAGATCACTTGATCACCACATTGTGTTCAAATCACAGAATCTTACCATATACAAATCGAACAATGACACTCCTCAAAGGCACACACCAGCAGCGTGGCTCTTTTACCATTGACTGATGCAATTGAGCCTACTACTATTGTAGGATTACAGCTCCTTGTCGCCAGAAACGCGATATCTTTACATTTCTCGTTGTTTTACGAACTGTGGTACAACTCTCCACGATATGTAAGCTGAAGATATCAAATATGTAATGTAGATTAGTAATACACACGTTGTGTTAGTGTTGTATCGTCTCATTTGCTTCTACTCCGCCATTGATTTGGCTTCAGAGCCCCCTGAGACCAACTATCAGCAACTGTCTAGAGTATGCACAGGATCCTGGACTAGGCCCAGTATCGCTCTCCCCTGACCAGCCCAGATAAATGGTCTGGTATCTCAGGCATCACTTTGCTCGGATAGTAAATACTTCTATGCACCCCTAGAAGTTTCGGCAGTTTCTGCGAATGTTACGGTACAGTGTAGCATCAAATTAGAATGTCAGCACCTCGAACGAGGACTTGCCAATTTTCAACTCCAACTTTTGCGGGACAGTTTGGTCTTTCTAAATTGCTTGGCATTTGTGCCTCTGTGGTCGGTAATGGCCCCTTGAACCGTTAAACAAAGCCCGAAAACACGGCTCTCCACACCCTTGTTGCCCCAATGCACGATCTCACTTGGTTAGTGTGGATCTAATGTAAGCTCTTGCTGGGGATGTTTGCAAGAGAGTTTGGTTCCGCGTTTTTTTCCACCAACACATGCCCTTTATGGTTAGGCTAAAATTGTAGTATCTGAGAAACCTGGAAGTGACTGTAATATTTCTGCACTACAAAGAATAATAATATTTTCCTGTTCCGGCGGCTTTCGCTTGGCAGGAAAAAGTTAGCCATTTTTAAAGCGGCTTTACCAGTCGTAGTAGTGGTCGCGATGTCGCATTAGCAACTAGCTGCTAGTATCTTTCCTCCAATGAAGGGGCCCCTTCGCAAAGTCGTTTGTTGCCCTGCAGAGCGAGGCAGGGTGAGAAATGTACGGTACAATACATGCATTGCATACTGTCCCTACACAAGTACCAGTACAAGTAGTGAGAGCATGGATCGACATTGCATGCAGTACGATATCGTTTTGGTCACGGTATCAACGGCGTAACTAACCGTTTCCATTACTCGAGCCGCATTTCGGTTCCGAAGATCCTGTGCACGCGCTGGCCAGGCATCATATAAGGCATGTCGATGCAACTACAAGTACAATTGAGTGCTGCGTGCATTATGACAGCAGTTGGAGTAGGGTTCCCACGGTCCCTTTTAATACGGAGCTTTAATGGAGTCGGCTCGCAATTCACCCCGCAGCCTTCCTGGAGATACGCTTTAATTTGGCAGCGTACCGATCTCAATTAAGCAGAAATGCTTCTTGGATATGGTTGGGCATTGCACGGATGGAAGGCAGCTGTTTGGTCAACGTACACAGTGCTGGTACAGTACCCATATTGTACCGTATGTACATATAGAGATTGCGCGAGGTTATGTTACGTAAATGCGACACACTGGTGGGGCTCTGCTTGGCATTTATCTATGATAGATACAGGCACAAAGATGAACATAGACTGTAGGCACAAGGTTAGGGTCTAATGTGGTGGACGACGTCGCTGTTTGTACGAGTACTCGTACATCCTCGTACTTGTGCCGAAGTATCGCATGTACTGTACGTTAATGCTGATATCACGTCTGAACTAATATCTGTTTAGAAATACGGAGCAAATAAGTCCATTGTTCGCGTCCAAGACTACACGTAGGAGCCACTGCCATTCTCCTTGACTATGTTAACTCCGGGGACGACATTCGTACTGGTCTCGGTCGATCTGTCCCGAAGGCCTGATACTCGAAGACGTTGTCTTTCATGGTATGTACAGACGTTACGGGACAATGTCATAGCTCTCAGTTATTTTTACCACTCCGTCTATTCTGAAATTAGTGTCGAAAGGGGGCCACCGGGGACTAATTAGTGTAGCAATATACTTTTGAAAATTTTTATCCTTTAGGGGGAGTGCTGGCTTTGATTTGTCGCCGCTCTCTTGGATTATACCAATGTTTGCTTTTTTCTGCCTTTTTGCTGCATGAAAAAATAATTGCTCAACGGTCATCAAAACCTTGAGCTTATCCAATTTGGGCCGTTGGAGTTTAGTTTAAAATAGGCTTTTGGGGCTAGGGCAATGTGGGGGTCATCGTTGTGGCTATACACGCAAACGGAGGAAAGAGAGACAGAATCAATCTTCCCAAAGTAATGATCTCCTCTGTGCGGCAACAGAGCCGGGTGGCAAATTGGGCACCATTTACTTGTAGTAAAGCTTGTCCGCTGCGGACCGTATAATAATACCGGTGCGAAAGCGGGCCGATATCGGCTACAGTATTATTGTCTGGCTTGTTCATGTATGTGCGAGACAGTGTTAAAGACAGTCTGACCTCAACGACAGAATCGATATATACTATTAGTGGAAGGGGCTCTGTAGCGTCTCGTTAAAACCATTTCTATTCCAATCACTTATTTCCACTCAAGTTGTAGCTGTTTGTACCGGTACTCGCAGTGTCCCTACCACTGACAAGATATTCGCTAAACTGATGTCCTACCATTCATGCAGGCGCAATCTTTGTGCCTAGATATTACATGAAGACATAATTCGTTGTTTTTTTATGGCAAAGTCTCCTTTTCATTCCTTTTTGCCAATCTCTGCGTTGTCAGCTTGCGTGTTTGAGCGTGTCCGTCTCCGTCCCCCTCTCTGTTCAAGCGGCAGGTACAAGACCGATATCACAGATCTCTTGTATGCTCGTAATGCTCATTTCCAATCAAAAACCCATACTCTCTCCCTCACACACACACACACCATCGCACATTGTCAACATCAACCAAACTAACTGCTACTGTACATCTATGATATGGGGACGGTCTTGTAGCTGGGGCACGGGCACAGTTAAACGTATTTAGTAGCGTACAGCGGCTCTTTGAGACTGTAACCAAAGATATTGTGTACTTGTACGCGTACTACTTGTAGTGCGGGCTGCTCCAAAACTCTGGTAGAAGTTTTTGAGCTTCACATACTTGTAACTATTGCCAAAAAAAGCAAAGACCGTGTCAATAGCCTGAGAAGAAAACCTAAGTGGTCGACGTCCAAGCTCCGTTCAACTCCATTTCTGCCCCTTATCAGAGCATAATAGAGGTATTCGTATATCGCTTATGATAATACCGTACACTGCTATTATATAGTCCAGTAAGTGCAGATAGAGATTCGTCACGTGGAGTCTCTTTGACCTGACTGACATACGCCCTATTTTCGAACAAGTAACTACATGTTTGTTTTTCCTCGTTTGTTTTTCTGTCAAAAGTGACCACCGCAAGTATTGGCAAACACTGATCTTGTCTCCGTCAACCTACAGCACAAGCATGTACGTGCGCTGTAAGCAACACGTTCGTCGGTACTCTGCAAATGCCAATTGGCTCGGAGTGAGGATCCCAGCAACGGTTTGAGTGTTCTATTTTTTATTGTACCGTATGTACTTGTATCAGGAAACATTGATGTGCAACAAAATGTTCTCACAAGTAGACGCTCCATGCATGTGAGGATTCCTGACTCTCTTCTCACCTTTTGCGATTTGCTTTTGTGCTTGGGTGTGAGCGACACCTCGAAAATGTATGATCATTGCAGCAACAGAAATCGTCTCAGAAATCGCCTTTCAAGACATTGGTTATCTTCCTTTATTGAACTCTTCGGTACAAGGTTGAGGGCACAGGTTTTCCTGTTGGTGAGAGCTTGTATCTCGACTTTCACATGAGCATGAAGAGAAGACAAGAAAGACGGGGGACATTGTTGACTATGGAGGTGCAGAGGCGCTACAACTATGTACTGTACCGGTTAATTACACCAGTATGTTTCCTACAAGTACATTCAGTACAATAGCTACAACACTGCAAGATATTTGCACAGTACTCATACTTGTATTGTAGTGCGTATCTCTGGTCAGTTTCCCAGTGTGTACACTATCACTGATACAAGTCGTCTCCTTCGACATACCCCTGGCACGATGATCGTCAGTGCATGTTTCGGCGCAGTTGAACATTTCAGAGAACGGTTAAGATTATAGCACCGGAAGGAGGCTGGCTGAAACCAATGTGTTTATCATCGCATTGATTTTGTGTTGCTAGGTTGTGAAATATGCGTTGCCCGGAATATGTGTTGTTAAGCTTGATACTCGTATAGAGCAAGCAAGACTCCAAAAGATAAGGGCAAAAAATGACGACATCCGCAGGATTCGAACCTACGCGGGGAAACCCCAAGAGATTTCTAATCTCTCGCCTTAACCGCTCGGCCAGGATGCCCGAATTTTTGAAAAAAAGAAATTTGGCCGTCTCGGAGATGTCATTTTGCTTAGTAAGCGCGATGAATCATTAGAATAAAAAAATTATATAAAAAACGGGGGAAAATTGCGGTTTAAAGAATCTAACATTATACCTATCTAATTTACAAGATTTCTGTAGTTATAAAATGAAAAAAATTCTCTATATGTTTGTATATTCAGAGCAACATGATGAAACCACTCCTATATATTTCATTTCATATTAGGTAATCATAAAAACTCGAAACTCAATTTCAAATCCACGACGCGGTGCGCGTTTTCGACTTGACTGTAGCACCATGGAACGACAAAAAGAACTGGAAACAGAAATATTGGTGGAGTTGGCCAAGATCAATGAAACGGCGATTCTGATGTGAGTATGCTGGTGCCATGGGGTCTGTGTTCGCCCCTTTCAGAGGTTAGTGTCAGTCTGTATTAACACAAGAAACGAAAACGTGTTGGCTTGCACAGAACTATTGAATCGCAACCATGAGGGCATCAACTTTTCCCATTCAACAGATGCTCTCTGTAGCACCATTGAACGGTTCATTCAAGATGTGGACGGAGAGCAAGCTGAGTCGTGATCACGGGTATACAACGCCTCATCCGTCGTGTCACGATATTGGGCTATCCACTGCTAGATCTTCCAGCGTGAGGTCGTCCAGTTTTGGCCCGAACTAAAGAAACCAAGGCAGCGTGGTTCTGGTTTGTGTGCGACACTGCTTCAGCACCTCATTTGATGTCATCAAGACACGTTTGCATGTTTTTAGGCCCCTAAAAATGCAACCAGAAAGTGGCCTGACATAGATAGGAGACCCGGACTACTTTAGTCCCCGCAGGACAACTCGCACAGTCATTAAGGTGGCAGATACAAGGCAGGATTCACGGCTTGATATAATGTCTGATGTGTGGCTTGTCTTTGAAACGCTGCTTACTGACCCATGGCTGCTACTGTTGCGTATCCTGCATGGAAGACGATTTTGTTACCGCTTGGGTACACTGTGTCATTGCGTGGCATTACTGGGGCGCACCCGGGGGAGGAAAGGGGTCACTTCTCACTGCTCACTGGGCTGGCGTACATTTAATCACCAATAAATGTTTATTTCGTCTAATTTCCAGTATTTTCGCTTCGCTCCAAATTCCCTGGGCTACCCTGCTCCAACACTACAGCACATCCCGTGTTGCTAACGGACATTCTCATTTGAAAAGGCGGATATTCTACAGAGCCTTTATAACTATTTGATCTAGCCCAGAACCCACGTCCCGTTTCCCGTCAACTGAAGCGAGAAATCCGCGCTACCTGTGCCTCCTGTGCTGCCAACCGCGTGCTAAAACCACACTAAAAATTAGTCCCGGTGATGTTGGTGACGTTGCAGAGCAGCTTGAAACCTATCATAGTGGCTCCTAAAAAGTTGGGCTTGTCAAATATATAACTAGCCCAGCGTTGTGGTAATATGACAGTAGATCGGCTCAATCCCGGTGGGGACCTGTAGCAGGAGTGACAGGGGCTAAAAACGTGGACCGGTGCCTCAACAGGGGGGACTTGGGGTCGAAAGCACGACACACCGAGCAAAGCAGTGTCAAAAGCGGTCGCTGTATTGAGAGCATCCTACGATGTTGTTGCTATAGTACTAGTACAGTACCCATACAACCACTACAAGTACAGGATGTACTGGTAATTTACTGTACATGCCGCACAGTGACATAAGAGACAATTTCTTCTCCGTATGACTAATAAGAAGCACAAAAATGGGACTAAAAGACGGAAAAGACTATGAGTTTGCATCCCTCTACACTCCTGGGTATTGTGCAGTACATACTGTACGGTACTTGCCTCCTTCCTACGATCCACACGATGAGATCCAGAGTCTCGAGATTGTCCCAATTACTTGCAGATTACTGGTGCACCAATCAACCTAATTTCCCCGCTTAACATGTCCCAATCGGTTGCCATGCAGTGATCTTCCACGATGACGAGATCGAGATGCAAACAGGTCTCCTGTGATTAATTCATGAGTCGCCACTGGACTGGTGTCTCCAAGAACACAGTCACCCTGCTTATATTCCCATGACCCCTTCAACCTCCTTCTTCCGTCTGGACAAACAACATTTTAGCCTATCTTGTCACACCTGTTGTCATTGGCTGAGACATGTTTGATGTTCACTTTGACATTGATGAGCAGCCCGTGTCTCAGACCACGGACATTTACTCACTGATAGTGCCGCCGCTTGTGACACACCGGACCATTCGCAGCAGCTATCATCGTGCCACAGCACACAAGCTAACACTGACATGTAACACTGCCCCCATACACCTGTCGTGGAGCACCACGAAAGAAAAAAGAAAAAAGATAAAAGAAAGAAGGAAAAAAAAAAACATCCAAAATGGGACACCCCAACCACCACCACAAGCCACCACCACCCCCACCCCCACAAAGGCCAGATTCATCACGTGACTCCGCTACCCCCCCCCCCGTGAATATGGGTCTATTTGGACGACTTTCCTTTTTCTCATCGACCCTTGACTTGCTCTCAAACCGAAATGCTACATTGCTAGCAGTCAGGATGATCTTCCAACAAGGGTATGTGTGCGGCACCCAAACAAGGTTTGGTTGCTTAGGCCTCATGTTCACAACCACAGTGACTGAAGACACATAGAAAGACACAGTCATGTGGAACAACGGGGTGCGCGTCCATGCAATATGCGGGATGAACAGGGGCATTTACGACCCCGCTGCTTTCTTCCTTGAAACACCCTGAGATGGATATAAGGAGTTGGGCATTCGCCATGGTTGCATAATCCATGCAGTCGGAATCTGGGGTACATATTTGCAAGGCAGTCAAAGGCCGATTAGAAGGGGGATTAGAGAACCGAGCGCAGTTAAGAGGGGTTTCCAGGCTCACCTAATGAGTATTCTGACATGGCTCGCTCCACCGCGAGGTTGCTATACTTTTAGTCCATTCTGAGACTATTTCTGAGTTTGCTAATTTTACTAAACATGTGATCCATAAAATAAATTGATTTTCCAGCATCAAAATGTTTAGACTGCTGTACAGTAATGTATGCTACGTTTCCCGCTACGTGTACATGACCATGTGTGTTTACCCATAACCAATAATTTATTTTCGTCGGCTGCCTTTTTTTTTTTATTTGGCAGACTCGACATATGCAATATAATATTTTGAAAAGACGTCCCAGTGGAACTTTGTCAAAAGAGAGAGTTTTTCAATGAGAGGAGTGACTGTGGAAGTAGAGTTAGTAGAGACAGCAGAGGTGTCGAGAATTCGAATTTCCACACCAGTCACAATCTCCTTCACCAGCCGTTTTTCCACCAGTTTGTACATGGCTGACGAAGGGAGAATGTTGTTTGTGAGCCAGTTGGAGGCCAGAGAAGTGAGCTCAGTCGAGGGCAGAGTCGCGGGTTTTTCGTTGACTACCGCCTCCACACGCTTGGCGAGTTCCAGAGCAAGGCCAGACACGTTCTTGGTCCACTTGCTGTTTCCACTGCTGCTCAGAACGATAGCCAGGCAGTCCGTCTTGAGCTTGGACTGGTACTCGGCATCGGCAACCAGCTTCTTGGCCTTAGCATCACCACGGGTGGCCACCAATTGCTGAAGCAACATGGAGCACAGCTGCAGGCAGACCAGCTGGCGCAGGTCAGATCGGAAGGCCGACAGACGAGCAAAGTCAAAGCCAAAGGTGGCGGGGAAGTCACTGCTACTGCACGTGATGAGCTGGGTCACTGCGCCAATGAGGGCGGTCTTGTAGTGCTTGGTGGCGCCCGCAGCGGCGGGTCGTTCGGTCGATGCAGCGGCAGCAGCAAACCACTGGCAGCTGCTGGCAATGTCGAACCGTCGCTTTTCCACCACCTGCTCATAGTAGTCCTGCTCAAAGTCTACAGCAGTGTCCACCAGAATGGGTCGAAGTGACCGGATCTGGTGGTTTGCAACGTCGAGCTTCATGGCCTCTAAAATGGCAAAAATCATCCGCAATCCCTCGGTAAGTTTACGACTGTTCTTTTCCTTCCAGCCAGCGTTGATGCGCACCACCATCTGGTCGACCCAGCTGTCTCGCATAGGCGCACAGTGCGCCTTGAACACGTTGCTGAGCCAGTGCGAAAAGGACACAAAGTCAAAGCAGTGGTGGCACAGCTGCTGCTGCACTAGGTCTGAGTCCAGGTCAGATTCGATTGTCTCGCGGTCCTTGACAGGCAGCAGAGACACCAGCACCTGTCGCAGAGTAGTGAAGAGAGTTGTGAGGGTGCCAAAATGCGAGGTGCATGGCTGAGCAGAGTCGGCTGCGGCCCACACTCCCTCAACCTCAGCGGTAATACCGTCCCAATATCGCTGTGTGCTTTGTCGCTTTCTCTTGCCTCGCTCGCCGTCCAAATTGGGGCGGAACTGCAGTTGAGGATCGAACACAATGTCGTGGCGCAGGCGGGGGTTTTTGAAGATTTCGGCAAGATCGATTTCCCGCAGCGAGTTGATGTTTACTGGTGGCAGAGGAGCGGTGGCAGTTGTTGTAGTAGAGCTCTTTGTGGCAGGCTTAACTGCAGAGATTTTGGTGCTACTGCCAAACGGGGCAGCAGATGCAGGTCGAGTGTTACTGTTACTAATTTTCGTAGGTGCTGCGGAGGCAGCAACGGGAGAAACGGCTTCCTCCTCCCGCTTTCGCTTGCTACCACCAAAGCTGTTGCCGTTAAAGGCGGGGTTGAAGTGGTTCACAGTGGGCTGACTAATCACATGGTTCATGTGGGTCACATGACCGGCAGCAGAAGCTGAGGCCGTGGCACTGGCTTCTCGGTCAATGATGGGCAGCGAGCGACTTCGAGCCCACGTACGAACTCCGTCCAGCTTCACCTTTTTCGACGGTTGCGTCTCATCGTCAGGCGTGGAGTTGTGTGTTGCTGTAGCAGCGGCGGCAGCTGCGGCAGCATGGGCGGCAACGGCGGTAGCAGCAGGGCCCGGGACATGTCGTGAGCATCGTCGGGTTGTCGTGGCAGTGGAGCCTCGAGTGGCTTGTCGTCTATCACTGGTTTCGTCGTCCGTATATATCTGGTCCATGTCTCTTTCGGCTTGATGGTGCAGTCGACCTACCTGTCGCCTCCTTATAAATGGTGCTGCCGCCATGCTTGGTGGAGAAACAAGCTGCAACCTTGGCTGCAACAAGGTGCAGTTGCTATAAAATGACAATCCATATTTAGGTTGGGACAGGAGCGAGCTTAATGTTTTGGGAGAAAAGAAAAATCGAAAAGTTGAGTAATAGGATTAAAGTCAGGAAATTTTTTTAGCTCCCAAAATCGCAAAAGGAAAAACGGTCAAGTGGATTGCACCAGGGTACCCATTGTTCCAAATGCGGACCCAGACACACAAAACCAGGCATCCAGGTCATGTGATGCCCATACTGCACACGGCATAGTCTCTTGCAGTTCGCCACATGAGCAGAATGACGTTGTAAATGCCTCAGCTCACTATAATAGATCTTGTTCTAAGATCTCGGCTAAAAGTGCGATGCGTCTGCCTGGGGATGTTGTAAACGAGTGGTAACTAACTAGCGAATTAGTTAGTTCATTAGCATCTGTTTGCTGCGGAATTGGGAAACTTTGTATTTTTTTTGGATGAACATGAGATCTTCCAGTGACTATCAATCTATTGAAGCGCCATTGAAGAAGTTATTTTAGGTCTATTAGATGTTCAAGGCAGCCCCCACTAAGATCTACAAACTAGTGATGGTTGGAAGCCTTCGAGTTGGTCTATAGCTGAAAAGAAGTCTGATTTTCGTTGGTCTCATTTTAACCGCTTTTTAGCCGCCTTAACCAACCCATTCTCCCAACCGAACAATCTAGTCGTTCGAGTAATGTACCACTGTATCGAATAGCTAACTATAGACCCAAATTACCAATAGTGTGTAAGACGTTTACCATTTAGCCCTACGAGTACAGTAGGTAAGTACGAACATATCATACTTGTACAAGTACAGTATGTAGTGTAATTAGTGTTGTGGATTCTACTTATAGAATGAGGCTCTAGAATTGTGGTAATTGTTACGTTGCCCATAAGTGCAATCCCCCCCCCCTCCCATAATGTCCCCAAAATCCATAAATTTACTACACATTATATATGGACACCTATGGTTTTTAGCGATTCATAAGCAGTTCACGTGATTACAACGCTCAATCTATGCATCTTTGAAACTTTATTGTTGTTAGAGCACAACAACCTGTACTAATTTGGTTTCTGCAGTCCGGGCTTCGGGAAGTTCTCGGATGATGATGGGGTCCAAAAACGTAATCACCCATCAACTCGTCTTGTGTGTTGGCTACTCGATTAGTCATGAACTAACGTCACGTGACCCACCCCTTTCTCCTGGGAGACGTTGCAGTGGGTAGTGAGACGTGTCAAACCCCCAGGGTTGTAGTTGCGACCTTGACATGGGACGACGGGATAATTATACGATAAGGCAGGTCCCAATGAGTTCGAAAACCGGAGGTGGAAATAATGGACGGGAGGTTTTTTAGATTACTACTGACTCACATTTTTCTTGCCCTCCACCTTTACTTTTTGTCTACCGTACGGCACATCACATCCGAAGATCCACTTTGCGCAGGTTAGTTCAGCCGTTTCACTACCTCTCGGACCGAAGCGTGGTGGATTACACCGGGGGAGTGTGTGTGCTGTATCCCAGCAACGCAAAAAAAAAAGCCGTTTGAGTTTCCTGTCTGGTACAACAAGAATTAGATTGGGTCTTTACATATAAACCTAAAATGGCAATCACCGATGGGTTGGAGGTGGGCTAGAATGAGACTAGCGGAACTGTGTCTGACATGTGTTTTCTCCTGGCGACACAAAGTTGCAATGGTTACTTGTATTTCAGAGAAAGGACATGGGCAGAACGTGACGTGTCGAATTACAATTGTGTGGTTTCAGAAAGCACCTTTTTTGCTCCAAAAACTGCCTTGCTGTCCCCCATTCATGAGCCATCTCATTTCCCGAGAGAGCGGTATATTAGTGATCTGCCTCGCAGCCAGCCCTGGTGCATTCGCTTATGGTTCGTCTCACTGCCTTATCACTCGCATCACATGACTTGGTCATGTATTGTAGGCCATTGCTATGGCTACGTCATGGGCTGCATACACAATGGGATTGTACGGATACGGCAATCGTTACCTTATTCATTATTCGTCAAACCCTTCCTATTTGAGTCCCAATAGGCATGACAATGGACTTGTGTCTCAGACTTGATAATGTGAGACATTGGGTCGGGCGGAAGGCTGGAAGTGGTTGAGGGAAAACAACGGAATAGAATTTTGAAATTGTGGCAAAAAAATATAGGCTGTGCAAACGGCAATAAATAGACTACAGTTTTTGACAGTTTATGACAAGTGCCCTGTGACTTGCCGCGGACATTATGATTACGTAATTGGTATTTGATGGCTGACAAAGAATAGATGGATAGGAGGGGGGGACGTTATTTTTCTATAAGATCCCACTTTTCAACATGTTATCAGGCCAGCCCTGTTCCGTACACTTGCCTGCCACACCCCGTATTTACGCGTATACAACTGATCGTATTTACTAGCCACAGGTGGGCATTTACCTCACGTATGGTATCGGCCCTTTTATGGCATGCGTTCATGTACGAGCGCTAAGCCAGTAATACGAAGCAATGGTTCCTTGCTGGTATGTAGCTGGTAGGAAAACAATGAGTAGTAGTATCGTTTGGCAGATGGTTCTTTTATAATACCAACAATTGAGGTCAGATCGGTTGACTGGTTAGTTTTCTTTTCGTTCCGAGCCTCTCTAGTGGCAAAATTCGAGATCGTCAAACCCCGATCCTCCGACGATATGCCGGTCTGCAAGTGTGCAAGCCTGCTTCTGTCCTTTTTTTTTCCCCCCCGAATAAGGTTGCATTACAGTCTGCACATGGCATCTCCCCTTTTAACGCTACATGAGTGTGGAGTGGGTCTGGAGAAATGGGTGGATCTGAGTGTATTATCGGATGATCAGTTATTCTGTTTGTAGTTTTGTGTACTGGACTGTCGAGTGTGTCTATTAATTATTGATCGCTTGCACTTATCGACCAATCTCTTTCTCACTCCCGGGTAACTTGGCGGTTTTTCGTGCATGGTTTCCGTTGGGAGTTTGCAAATGAGCCGCACAAGTTTCTAATTGAAATTATTCGGTTGGTTGGTAACAAAAGTGTCGATCATTGGTGCCGTCTGGGATCGTGTGAGTGTCACTGACCGACTAAGACGTGCTAATGAACAAAAAAAAAATGCAACTACAGTACTTGTAATAGTTAAGCGAGGAGCGGCATTATTTGCATGTCATATCCGCTTCTGGACCGTTATTGCGCTAATGACACGTTGGGGTACATATAGCACGATAGCTACTGTAGCAAAGGGGATGTTTGACACTTCATCTGAGACACAATTAGCTAAGACACATAAAGGAGACTGGTTACACCCACTCATACAGAACTACTATTGACATTATTCAACAAAAAAGAAATTTTAGCCGCCTTCAGTATTACCAGAGAAGCGAAGATATGTGTATGTACTGTACTGTACCCCATTTATTATATGTACTGTACTGTACTTGTAACATGCTCGTGCACTCTTTACCAATATGTACTTGTACTGCTTGTACTGTATTTGAACAGTATTCAGTCAAGGCTTCGCAGACATTGCCAGATATTGTACTTGTATCCATGAGAGGAGACTCCTGTTTGATCTACCCCTTGCACACCATCAAGATCATCTGTTTCATGTCCGTTGTGACAGAAAATATGGTGCAATGTGTCCACCGTAATTACACATAAGATTGTTGACCCATGTTGACGCTTGGGGTTAGCGGAGTTAAATGTTTCACAGTTGGCAGGCTCGAACTCCGATGTTTAGGATTCCATGGATGTGTCTGGCATGTTTGAGGATGAGGATACTCCATGACATCTGACATGACGGAGTGACAGCACGCTCTATGCACTGAGTCCCTATCGGAGTTGTTCCGGGCGATGGGAACAAAAACTTCCGAGGGTGACAGCTGACAACGAACGACAAAAGGGGATGACTTTATCGTGTAAGTACAATGTACTGTAGCAGGCGTATTCTATGGTGAATAAATGTCGGGCATCTCCGATGTCGTAGAACTCCGACTTAGACCTATAATAAACATACCGGTATGGGGGTGGCTATACTCAAATTCTTACCTCCGCTGTCACGAGTACAGTAATTAGTCTTAGAGCCCATCTATGGGCTGGGCTTTTAGCATGAGGGGCCCGTTATGATACAGTACAGTATGTACAGCACTAGCACTGTCTACCTGAGCTACAAGTAGGCACCGTGGAAGCATGTCAAAGGGCCGACCATTGTTCCAGGCAGCCAACCATTGTTCCAGGCAAATCAACCGTTGTGGAAGACGTACTACTTGTAGGGGTTCACGTTGTTCCATATGAGAGAGTTGTCTCTCCATTATCCTTGCCGATTTGAGTAACAACCGCTGGACCGACCAGCAGTGCCTGCTATCTGCTTGACGTTCGCTGCAAGACTATGGTTGAGTTGAAGTCTAGTTCGACAGTGTGTACATGGAACGGCACGTTGATGGTTGGAAGGTTGCATCAACGTTGACACTGTTAAAAATTGGTTAGGTATACACGCACCGGTACAAGTACACAAGTACAGTTCTTGTCGTACCATGGATCTTGAAGTTGTTTTGGTTTCTTTTGTAGCTACAGATAGATAATCTATACGCACACATGGCATGAAGCGTCTGGGGCACACGGCTCTGTTTAATTTTACTTAGCTCGTTTTTGCACAGTACTTCTTCGATCGGGAAAGGGGCTGGATTTCACTCGGCACCAGTTGTCAATATACTGGAGCTGATGCCCTAGTAGCTACTGTAGCTAACCGGGATGTTTACAATCGTACCCTTACCTCATTTCGTCATCTTGGCGAGAACTCAAATGTCAGCCGTAGATCGGGCGGTAGGACCGATCCTTATGAAACTGGACCCCTGGATTTTCTAACGTCATGTAGAGTTGTAACATTTCTCCATAAAAAACAACTGTCCTCGCACCTTTGTGTGGTTTGCGTGGTGATATCTGCCTGTGACAGTTGACGATGACACTTGTC